GGAAGGCATTATCATTTGACCATCCTTAACTAATAAGTAAAAAATTTCATTACATTTAGTGACATCGAAGGTGTAAGTTCTCTTAGGGAATCTATCGTTTTTATCGGGTTCAAACAAATTTTTTCCGTTTGAGGGAGCTAAGACCATACATGAATAAGAGGTCCTTTATTTTAAATCAGCAAGATCGATCTCACTTTCGTCGAAGTCTGACGGCTCATTATACGGGCCTTCATCATCATCATTAGATTCGACATAGGCTACCCTCTTATTTTTATTTGCCCTAGACTTTCCTCTTTCAAACGTTCTAATTGTCGAACCCTGTCATCCAACTAGGCCATATGTCTAAGGTACTGGGTATCTAGTTTCTTCCTAATAGAATAATCTAGACCTCCAGTGGAAATTTCGACGAGTTAGTGTTCTGGCACTTCCGTAAAGCATCTGGCCTTAAGTAGACGAAATATGTTCAAGTAATCATCTATTGGCTCTGCGAACTTTCGCTTGATACTGACCAGTTTTTCAAACTAATCTTGGTTTGGCCCATATAAAATTGTTCATGAAATAACTTTTCTATCTGATTCCAGTTATGGATCGAATTTGGTGGAAAGGTTGTGAACCATGTAAAAGCATTTTTAGTGAGAGAACTTGGAAAGTATTTTATCCTAACATTTTCATTGTTCGAAATTTCTCCAGCCTCTATCAAATACCTAACCACATGTTCGACATTAGATTCAGTGGTATCCCCTGAAAACTTAGTGAACTTAGGGACCTTCCATCTAGGTGACAGGTCTGATTGTAAAATATATTCTGAAAGTGGCAAAGTATAATTTGGTCTCTAAAGACCATAATTAAATTCGTTTCACGCCATTATTCTTTTGACCATGGCTGCTAGATTATTATTTGCGGTCATATCATCACGTCGAATCTGTTGTACAACATTATCAGCATTTTGGTCCATTTTACCATTACTACCCTAGGTCTTTCCTCAATGGGAATTTGGGGTTGGGCTCTAGGAATTTTGACCCTAGATTGTTCGATTGCCACTCTTGCATCAATTAGATTTACACGGGGTAGATTCCCTTGGTTTTGTTGAACTTGATTAATAGTGGGATCCTCTTCAAGGGCTACTCCCTAATTTTCCAAAATGTATTCTCTTTGTGGATGTCGAGGAGGTTGTGGTACTCTAAAAAAGTCTGTAAGGTGTGTCATTTGCACCGTCACTTGTTGGTTGGATTGAATGGTGCTTTGTATTAAGGGATTAAGAATCGTTCCCATTGTTTGGGCCAACATTTGGACCATTTTGTGGTTACTCTCATCCATTTGTTGCCTAATGATTTCTGCAAAGTTATTGGTAAAGTTTAGCATTTGGGTGGAATAACTGATTCCTACAGATTGGCTATTTTGCCATATGTATATTCCAGAGCCTGATCCTTGTAGTGGTGAAGTAATGTTCACTATAGATTCTGAGAATGTTGAGGTGACATTGTGCAAATTCGCCATCATGGATGTTGGCATTCCATATGGTTGATCTCGATTTCCAAAAGGCATAGAGAAACCTGGGGGCATGAAGGGCCTATTCGAGGCAATCCCCACTGGTAGGGGAGTTACTAGAGGGCCCTTTGGCCCAGTATATTTTAGAATGGGCTCACTGTGGGTGATTGATTGTGTGGGCATCGAACTTTCCATAAATGGCATTGGTTCTGATATAGTCATTGGGCCCGTTGTTGCCCTAATCGAAGATGCTTGGGGCTGTTCTCGACTATTACTCGAAGAACTTTGAGGAATTGAAACATTTGGATGGTTAGGATTCACCATTTTCTTAGTATACCTTCTCCTTGGTCTATCTTCGTTACTGGTGGCTACTTTGCCACTTCTCAATAACATGCAACCAAATCTTCAAAGAGAAACGATAATAAACAAAATTGTGACACGAACACTACTAGCACTGTCCCATTGGGTGTGCCAATTTGTTTACTAGAAAAATTATAAACAACCGTTGGTCTTTCTAATTAAGAGAAATTGGGTTACATACAAGACCGACCACACAAATCCTAGGACATGTGCTAGCAATTCTTAATTAAAGGTTTGGGGAATAATAAAGGTTCCCGCATTATCCATGATCTAACAACTAAAGATTTCGAATTTTTGGAAGAAGAAAAATGTAAAAACTTGATCAAAGGATAATTAAATAACTTGAAAATTAAAGAGTTAAATTCGTGATAAAAAGATAAAATTGACATTAAAAACATAAAGATATAACCAAGCATACATTTCCTTCGACATACTCTTTTTCTCTACACGCGGATACTTTGAGTATTTTTAGAAATTTTGTATAATCTTTGGAACACACCTATTCTAACACTAAGACCTTCTATTTATAATGGTAGAAAGTAACCGACCCTAACGGTTACACTATAAGAGAATGACAAGTGGCGTTCGGCATGTCTCTATTCCTTAGAAAACTCCACGTGTCCTTCAAAAATATGGATAAGAACGAAAATTCCCTCCTTAATTTAAATTCAAATTACGCGTCGAAATACCATCTCTGTCGAACCTTCAGAATATTTTTCCTTCATGCCTTTATCGAACGTTCCCTCTTCGCATAAATGACCATTTCGACTACATTAAATATAACCATGTTGAACACATATTTATTACTTTACGTATTTCTTTTCCGTTATTTCTTAAATAAAAATCCAGGAGTCGAATTTGAGAGCTAACACCTGTGTAATGCCACCTGCTCAGCATCACCACGTGTCTGTTGTGCCTTCGCGATCTTGACCACATTGAGGTTCCTCAGAAACTAAAATCTAGCATGAACGCCTCTGGTCTGATCCACCTCCTCCATCGCATCCTATGGATCAACCCCTAGATGCTTTACCATCATCTCGACTACCTCGTCTCTGATCATCCTTCCATGATCGTGGAATCTCGCCCTGATTGGAAGATGTAACAAACACGAGATATTGTCTAGTGTGATCGACATCTCACCATGTGATAGATGAAGCGAAGAAGTCTCAGAATGTCATCTCTCCACGAATGCATTAAGCATCCTGTGGTTGACCAGGTTGTACTCGGTCATGCATAGGTCATTCAGGCCAAATAATAACAGAACACTCTAAAACCAATCGCCCTCATGCTAAGGCAATGAAACAATCTTCCTCATATGGTTAAGAAACTTCTAGAGATCAAACACATGAAATTTGCCATAAGAAAATAATGTCAATAAAAATAAATATCATAAATAATCAATGTCAACAATTAAAATTAACTTAAAAATAAATCAAAAGTCCAACTAATGTTACATCTCCGTCCCAGATATGTCTGGCAGTGCGGTCTGAATACAAAGGAAGTAAGGACAAATCATATGGACCTCATTTAAAACCCTCTGGCTCGACATCCGCAACAGCCTCACCCTTCGGAGGTGGCACTAGATCAGCTGGATCATCAGCGGGAGGTGGAACTGGATCAACAGGAGGTGACACTAGTGAATCCTGACGTCTACGCGAAGATGGGGAAAGTGACATGTCAGCTGGTGAATCATGTCTTATACGAGGAGAAGAAGAAGATGGAGTGGACTGAGATGGAGTAGGGTGAGATTAAGCATGATCCCCAGAAGTAGACTGCATCCTAGAAGTCGACGCCTCTACCTGACTAGAGGTACTTGCTGCCTCTGAAACATGCTATCTCCGCTCCTGCTGAACAAATGTGTGTCGGGCTACTCTGTCATGTCTCAGTCTATCGACTCTGTTAGCCATTATGCTTGTAAGATAAAGTAAGACATATCATTAGTGCACGCAAACAAAACAAACAAACAAGAAAATTTATAAATAAATAAAAAACAGACTGCAGGATATTTCAGAGATGCATCTCCGGAAACACCATACAACAATAACGTTGAACAATTCCAGAATTGTATCTCCGGAAACACCTCAAAACTATTAACTTTGAAGAGTTCCGGAGATACATCTCTGTAAATTTCCAAAGTATATGAAACGTTGAATTATTCTGGAGATGTATCTCCGAAAAGTTTTGAAACTCAGAGGTCGCGACAATGGCGTAATGTGGCTTAAACAAGTTGAAAAAACATGACCCGATCGCCATTTTGAGCCAACAAACAAGTCATACACTAAGTCTAAACTACGTTACATGTGATTCCTACACATTTCTAATCCTAACAATTGAATTCTACACATTTACACTAAAACTCAAAATTTATCTAGAAATTAAAAAATTTATGGTTTTAATGATGTTGAATGATATTATTGATGATGTTTGATCTTCCTTTGAGCCTTATTTGATGAAATTTGATGTTGCGAAGAAGTTGAAGTTTTAAGTTGAGTAGAGTTTGAGAAGTGTATGTTGAGAAGTGTGAAGGAAGAGAAGAGTCTGACCCGACTTACTCTCCAAATTATTTCGAAAATATATCTCTAAAATATTTTAACATTCACTGAACTTTGGATATGCGTCCGAAAATATATTTTCAAAATAAAAAAAAATGTAAAATTTCCCATACACTTCTTTAAGTGTCCCATTAAGCCAAGAATAGCCCAGTAAGCCCAATTACTACACCTTTCCTCAATCTTGGTGACTCAGTATCGCCCTCCGCGCTCTTTCCACACACACATACACACACGATGCGAACAAGAGCTTCAATCTCTTCATCTCTGCTCCGTCTCCAACACTTCTCTTCAACAACAACCACAAACTCTAACTCCGTTAACCGAACCCACCTCTTGAACTCCATCAGAACCCTCTCAAACGTTAACGCCTCCGTCACATTCTTCCACCAAATGCTCTCCATGAATCCCTTCCCTCACATAAAAGACTTCAATTTCTTATTCACCTTCATAACCAAATCCAAACACTACACAACCACCATTTCCCTAATCAAACAAGCTCATTCCTTTGGAATTAACCCAGACACATACACACTCAACATCCTCATCAACTCTCTCTGCCATTTGGGCCACACCTCCTTCGCCTTCTCCGTTCTGGGCCTAATGCTCAAAACGGCCCTAAACCCCACCATCGTAACCCTCAACACCATTGTTAACGGGCTCTGTGTAGAAGGCAAAGTGGCACAAGCTTTGAATTTAACCCGCCACATGGAAAACGCGGGTTATCAACCTAGCGGTTACACTTTTGGAGCATTGGTTAACGGTTTGTGTAAAATCGGAGACATGGTTAATGCTGTTGTTTGTCTTAGGAACATGATTGAGAGAAACTATGAACCAAACGTTGTTGTTTACAATGCAATCATGGATGGTTATTGTAAAGGAGGGTTTGTTTCAGAGGCTTTGGATTTGTTCAGAGAAATGAATGAAAAAGGTATAAACCCTAGTTTGGTTACTTATAATTGTTTAATTCAAGGGCTCTGTTGTAATTCTCAATGGAAAAATGTTTCTTTTTTGTTGAATGAGATGATGGAAAAGGGAATTATGCCTGATGTTCATACTTTTACTATTTTGGTGGATGGTTTTTGTAAAGAAGGGTTGATTTTGGAGGCTAAGAGTGTAATTTGTTTCATGGTGCAAATAGGAGAGGAACCTAATGTTGTGACTTATAATTCATTGATTGGTGGTTATTGTTTGATGAGTCAAATGGATGAAGCTATGAAGGTTTTTGATTGGATGGTTTTAAGGAAGTGTTTGCCTAGTGTTGTTACTTATAATTCATTGATTCATGGTTGGTGTAAGGTTAAAGATGTTGATAAAGCTATGTGTTTGTTGAGTGAAATGGTTAGTGAAGGTTTGTGTCTTGATGTTGTGACGTGGACAACACTTGTTGGTGGGTTTTGTGAAGTTGGTAGACCTTTGGCTGCGAAAGAGTTGTTCTTTACAATGAAGGAATATGGTTTGGTTCCTAATCTCTTGACTTGTACTGTTGTATTGGATGGTTTGATTAAATGTTATTTTCGTTACGAGGCGATGTTGTTGTTTAGAGCTATGCAGGAGAGTGATTTAGATCTTGATATTGTCGTTTATAATGTTATGATTGATGGTTTATGTAAAGATGGAAAGTTGAGTGATGCAAAGAAGGTCCTTGCGCGTCTTTTGGTGAAAGGGTTGAGATTTGATTCGTATACTTATAATATAATGATTGGAGGTTTATGTAGAGAAGGATTGTTAGATGATGCTGAAGACTTGCTTAGGAAAATGGAAGAGAATGGATGTTCACCTAATGCATGCTCTTATAATATCTTTGTTCAGGGATTGCTGCGAAAAAGTGATTTTTTAAGGTCAAGTAAATACCTACAAATAATGAAAGACAAAGGATTTGCAGTGGATGCTACTACCACAGAGTTGCTTATAGGCTTTTATTCTGTTGATAAAGAAAGTAATGCATTTTAAGAGTTGAAGAACTGAAGTTTGTTTGGATTTAATCACCATCTATACATTATTTGATGTGAATTTTCGTTATCATCTTTTAAGAACCTATTTGATCAAATGGTATGCTATAAAGAACTAGGGCGAGCATGATATGATCAAGCAAAGAGTTCAGAACTAGCTTTTTTGGCCAAAAGCGTACAATTCAACCCAAACAAAATGAAGTCATTGCCTTGCTAGATTGCAATTGTATGATTCTAGAAGAGATACAATTATATGCCTGATGCTCATACAAGAGAAGGTATGTAAACTGACCCTTTGAGATTTGTGGTATGAGATATGTGTGGATATGTTTGTTGCACATGATTGTCAAATTGTTGATTGGTTTTCTACAAGAGGTTAAGAAAGAGGGTGAAAAAGTGCTGCGTTCCTTAACCCTTATTGCTTTTTTCTGTCGCATCAGAATAGGGTAGCATGTGTTTTTGACCTGTACTGTCAAGTAGCAGTGATAACAGCCCTATGGCATAGCAGATTTTGGTGAACTTGCTATGGAAGCTGTGACGCTATCCTAGTTTCACTATTCTGGCAATAATGGCCGCTGTGCAGATGCGCTACCGGTCGCGGAAAAAAGAATTTTAAGGTTTCTAAAAATAATAAACTTACGAGTCAGCGTGAATGCTGCATCTTAGATTTGAACTGAGTCTAATTTGATTTTACTAAACCTGTTTGGAAGCTAAGGGCTGCTAAAATTTTATAAACACAGGTGTTGGAGGCTCCAATAAAGGGATATGCACATGGTTTTGGCCCAACAGTTGTACATGGTTTACTTGGGGCAGCAAAGCAGCGGGAACTTAGTGGAACCTGTTTCCTTGGTTTTATGGCTTTTCATACATTCTATTTCAGCTCTCACGGAATTGAAATTTTTTGAAAGAGAGAACCAAACGGATTCAACTAGTCAGTATGCACGATGTCACATGCTCATAGATTGGTTCAAGCAGATCGAGGAAGCACAATGGACGCCATGTTATGAAACAACACAGCTAGCTCATACTTAAACGAGTTTAGTACAATTTCACAGTCGCTCGTACTCCAATATTTACAAAGCCAATGAAGATCAATGTTGAAGTCCTTGGAGCAGCTGAGTTTAGTCTCTATCTGTCAAGATTAGCCCAAAGGAAAACAGTAGAGCTAAGAAGAGAAAATCCAATTTAGTGCTAATTCTACAGTCATAACTCTCAAAAGCTTGTGACTGCAGAGCTTTTATATCAAAATTTTCAAGAGGGCTTTGCATTGTTCTACGCCTACTGTTAGATATTGTTATGGTATTTTTTATCATATATTGTTAATATATTATGGAATTATTAGTTAGAGTTTCTAGATATTGTTCAAGTTATATTGAGAAGATTGTTAAAGATTTTTATAAAATAAAATAAAATAAAAACTGTTGGATAGTAGAATGTGATGGAAGGTTGAAGGATTATAAGTGATTAATGAACACAATTTTTTCATATTTTGGGGACTAGATTGGAATTGCATTCCTGATTTTGATTTTGATTTTGTCACGTTTTGTTGTTGCATATAGTTTGAATAATCTTCTTACTCTTAAAATCTAGGTTTTATGTCCCTTCATTTAATTTTAGGTTTTATTTTAGTCTTTTATTTAATAAATATTTTTAAATTTCATTTCGTTAGTTATATTGGTCTTATCTATTAAATTTAGTCATTTGTCATTAACTTTGTGTATATGTGACATTCAAGTTGGTGTTAAATTAGATGAAATGAAATTATTTTACTCTATTCAATCAAATTTACAAGAGATTATTTTTTAAATACATTGAATAGTTAATATATTTGATCCATATATAATTCACATTTATTAATTATTCAATTTATTTAAAAAATAAGTCGTCACTTATAAATAGGTCATACTGATTTAAAATTTAAAACTTAAAACCAAAATTTAAAACTTAAAACCAAAAGAAGTCTCGGATGTTAGTAAGCTCAGATAGTGGAGCGGAACGGCGGATCCCAAATGTGGTATAGCGGAAAATGAGATAAAAAGAGATAATTTTTATGAATAATCTACCTATGTATTTTCATATACATTTTCATAAAAATTATCATAGACAAATAAAATAATTTTTAAATCCTAAGATCAAACTAATTAAATAATCAAAATTTCTCTTTTTTAATTTATTGTCATTTACCTCTTTTCTTTTATACAAAGAACTAATAATCATTATAGAAATGAAAATAAGACATTATAATTTAATTTTAAAATATTAAATAAGTGTAAATTTCAATAAATTTTTTAATATTTTATTTTTTAAAAATATATAAGAATGTTTATTCTTCCTTATTTTGTAGATAAAAGGCGTTTCACATTCAAACTCCTTAACACTCTACATAATCATTCATGACGATCAACATTAAAATCATAAACAAAACTCTCTATTTTGCGTTGAATTTGTAATCTAGAGGACATTTTTCTGTAATGAATTATGAATGACAGCTGAAAATTTATGCTTTAGTTTTGTAGTATATATTTGCAATTATGATTCAAAGTAATATTTTAGAAATAATTTGAAATAATTGTTTGTCTATTTGAAAGTTATAAATTAAATTTGAAAGAATTGTTTGATAGTTTTTTTAGCATTTTAATGAGATTTAATATTTGAAAAAAATAAAAATAAAATAATAATTAGTGTATGAAAAAAATTTTCCTTTTATAATTGTTGCTAAATAATCGTTATCTCCTTTTTGTCAGCGATTTAAGTAGTGATAATGTTATCGCTTTTATTAAGAGACTAAAAATTATTTTAATTTTTATAGAAATTAAATTAGTTGTCATAATTTTTTTTATTGAGTTATTTGAAAATTGACTAATTTAATTTTATTAGAAAATAAATTAGGTTTCATAGTTTTTATAGAAGTATTAAAATAACTTGTGTTTTAATTAAAAATAATTTTATAAATGAAACGTTACACATATTCGTCAAATAAATAGTAAATTTTTTTAAATGTTATGTTTTAAAAAATGTCACGTCAGATTTTTAATGATGTGACAAATAAGAAAGTGTGTTTGTCAACAAAATAGTTTGATTCTCAATTTTAATATATTATAATAGATTGTTGTTTATCTTATCAAAAATATATTATTGTATTTTCAATAAGAAGGGGTCAATGAAGTTTATGGGGTACAATTGAAATAGTGGATTTGCAAATTGCCCTTTCCAATCCACTTTATAACCTTTTTTACTTTCCAACCATATATTCTCATTTACTTGATTAATTAAACATCTCTCGCTCCTCCACAACTTCATCTCCTTTTTTTCTTCTTCGATTTTCTTGCCTCGTCAACTCCAACACAACTACATCTTCTATTCTTCTTCGATTTACTAGTTCTTGACATTCGATGAAAAAGTAAAAAAAAGAAAAAGTAAAACCGCACCACAAGGGTAGCGACCCGCAACTCGCTCAAGATATAGCGTTTTTCGCGTCCGCTACCTTAATCTGGGATCCACACTTTGGAACCGTCACACAGGGTGACCGCTCCGGCTGAAAATCCCGGAAAACCACCATTAATAACTCTGTTCTATTTACATAGACGAAACCCTAGCAGACGATACCTTCATAAAAGACAAAACTCAGATGCTACGAAACCTTCATAGAAGGCGAAGCGAACTGCATTAGAGGCGAAGTGAAGTGTTTTCTCACCAGAATACAAAGACAAACTGCATTCATCTAACTCACGTTCGAAGAAGAAAACCTAAGGTATAGATACTCATCTCCGAGTTACTAAAAATGTAAACTTTTTTGGTTTAGCCATCATCCTTACTATTTTTCTTATTTATGTAGCTTTTTTAAGCCATGGATAATCGTTTTCAGTTTATTATGCATCATAGGGGTGAATTTTATGAGTACCAAATTAGGTTATAAAGGGTTATAGGAAATTTGGGATGTTAATCTTGATTTTTAGAGTTATTTTGAAGTTTTGAGTGGGTTTAAAAGATTTGGGTTATCCAACTATAGAAAGCCTTTGGTATTACGATCAAATGGAGTTTAATAAGATGATTTTGTTGAAAGATGACAAGGGAACTAGTAGGATGAAAACAATTGCACTGTTGATTGGGATAATCCATTTATTATTCATCTTATATTACAACCTGGCATTATTGAGGAACAAATATTTTCACTAGAATGTAATGTGGTAGGGTCAAATGTTGTTGAAAAAGGTACAACTGACATTGAATTAGGAAAGAATAATATAGAGGGGACCACTATGTTTGTAAATGTTGTGAATGAGGGAGTCAATTTGAATGAGACTAATATGTTTGAAAGTGTTATGGAAGGAGACCTTTTGAATAAGGGGATCAATGTGTTTGAAAATGTTGTGGATGAATGAGACATTTTGGATAAGGGGACCACTATTTTTAAAGACAACTTGGTGGATGAGGGGACTACTAAGGTGGATGATGTTGTTGAGTTTGAACATGACTATATAGATGGTGGAAGTGAGGAAATGGTATTAGATGAGGGGACCACTATTTTGGATGAGGGGAACACTGTGGTGGATGATGTTGTTGAGTCTGAACATGAGTTTGTATATGATAGACTAAACTATAATAATGAAGAAGATGGGGGGCTAAATGGTGGAAGTGAGGAAATGGTACTAGATGAAGGGACCGCCATAGTTGATAAGGGGCTAAGCTGTAACAATATGGAAGATGAGATTAAACTATAACACTGAGGTTGATGAGAGACTAGATGGTGGTAATGAGAATATTGCGTTGTAGATTAATTTTGAAGATTGTGATGATGACGTGGGTATGAATGTAGACATGGTAGTTGCTAAAGATGAAGTCCCTGAAGAGGATGTTGATGAACACCAAGGGAAGAAAAAGGGGGAATGGGAAAGGGAAAGTGAAGGGTAAAGGCAAAGGGAAATAGAAAGGTAAAGGTAAGGGGAAAGAAATGGTAAAGATAAAGGGAAAGTTGGAAGACCACCTAAGAAATCAAAACAT